TCATCGCGAAAAAGGGCCCAAGATTTGTCTGCAGGGCGCCATGACGCTGTGTACTAGCGCTGTAACGTTGCTTCTTCGGGATTTTGCTACCAATTCTGACCTGCAGGCGCGCCATGGCGCTTAATGATGGCGCTGCCGCGTTGATGTGGTTTCATCAAGCTCCTCTTTTTCGCTCTAGTTTCCCTCAATTGATCGCTTATGCTTCAATTCTTTCTAATAGCTTGATCCTATAAAAAACATCAGTTATGCACGTAAATAAGCCACAAATGACCGAAAATTGTTAAATAATTTCAATATAAATTTCATGAAATGTAGCTCACAAAGTGTGCTATCAAGACACGCCGCCGAGTTTGCTGCACGCAGGAAAGGTCACGCACCGCCACTGTACGACGCTGGCGCCGCTGGAATTTACCGCAACTCCTCGAGTCACCGCCGGGTTCGCTGCTCTTCGCGCCGCCGCACATTGCTACAACCGCCGCCGTCAGAGTCGTTGAGGGACAGGAGTGTTACCGACAAACTAAACGCGCCGTCGTCGAGGTAAGACTGGGATTTGCGCTGCCGTGAGGAGACCAAAGGTCGTGCTGCTGTTGCCGCCTGCCGGACCTGAAGGAGAGATGAGGGAAATTGGCATAGATAACCTAAAAAAGTTTGTTGTTTGCTCAACTGACCCAATTTAATATTTTGAATAGAATATTGAAGAATTAAATTACTATTTTAGCCTCAATCTGGAATGCAAGTGAAGTCGCAAATGAATTAACACGAAAGGAAACTAATGGGCAGGTTCGACCGTGGTTTTGACCGTGGTTAGTGTTAGTTTGACCTTGGTTAGTAGGAGAGTAACACGAATTTTTTGCTTCACCACAACCATGAAATATAGGACCCCGGCCGTGGTGTTCATGAAAGGGCAACTAATGGGCTAGGTTGCACCGTGGTTAAAATGAATGCTTGACCACGACCGTGGAAACTAGTACCACGGTCATGGTGTTCATGAAAGACAACTAATGGGCTAGGTTGGATCGTGTTTAAATTGTTTGCTTGACCACGGCCATAAAAAAGAGTACCACGACCGTTAATTTAATGACCATTATACCCCTCAGTTCAAATTCAAACTGTTCGTATTTCTCATTCCATATCTTCTTTTCTGTTCTTCCGTTTTCGTTTTCGTTTTCGCTCATCCGATTTACGCTCCCTCAATTTCCTCTATTTCACTCTCTACTAGTCAATATCGTGCTCTGAATCGCTTCCCATATCCGAAACTTCGAGGTTAGAACATTTTATTTCGTATTTGCGTCCCTTTTATGGCAAGAAAATAAGTTTTTTTTGTACTTATATTTGCGATTTTTTTCGTTCTTCGTCCATTCATTCCTTCCATGGCAGCCTATTTAGTATTTTCGGTAGTTGTAGGGCTCGAAATCGGCGTTTTTTGTTTATGATTTGCATTTGTGGGGAAATTTTGATTTAGGGCTTTAGGGTTTCTGTTTCCGGTTGTGTTTGCGTGGGTTTGTGTGGGTTGATGTTTTCTGCTGCGTTTGTAAGCGTTGTGTGGTTTTTCTGCAGTGGAAGAAGGAAGGTTTAAGGGTTTAGAAATTTGTGTTGAACCACGGCCGTTAACGCAACAGTGGTTTTTGAACGATGCATTGGTTTTGGGCAAATTAATGGGCACATTAACGGTCGTGGTTCAACGCAAATTTCATGGCCGTAGTTTTTGGCTGTGGTTAAAATGATTGCTTGACCACGACCATGAAAAAGAGTACCACGACATTGGTTCTGTTCAAATTCACGGTCGTACCACTGCCATGGTCGTGACCTTGAAATTTTACAGAATCAATATCCTTCTTAAATTTGCACTACCTAGGCCATGGTAAGCCTGTGAATTTGGACAGATTATGTTGTTTTTGGGTTTTCATCTGTTCCTTTCATCTATTCCTTTCTATGTTTGGGTTTTCATCTATTCCTTTCTATGTTTGGGTTTTCATCTATTCCTTTCATCTATTCCTTTCTTTGTTTGGGTTCTGGCTTGCTAAATAATAAGTTATGTGTATATTGTATTTGTATTTCAGGTTTATAAAATGGAGATGGTACCTAAGATTCCTCCCTCTAACTATCGTTCAGCCAATTTTACCTGTCTATCCCACATAGGGAGCACGGTAAAGGCTATTAAGAGTAAACTAACCCCTAGGCAACTTAGTATGTTTAGGAAGACTATTTTTGGCCATTTGCTAGACGTAAAGCTCGTACTTAATGGACCACTTATACATAACCTGTGGCTTACGGAGTTGGAGAATAGTAGAGTAGACGTAATTACTATGGACTGAAGGGATGTGAATCCCGGAGCGGAAGCAGATCTTCGTTGATGATTTTTGGGAATACAAAATCTAAGTTCAAAGAAGAAAAACACAGGGACAAACTTTACCTTTGAAGAACGTTTCTTCAACGATTTCCCAACGAACACCACCAAATGATCTTCATTGCTATCCTCTTGGGTTTCGAGAACACGCTTGTGGGAGTGTTTCTTTGGAACGAGAGGGAGAGTTTGATTGAGAGAGCTTGATTGAGAGAGAAGAATGCTTAGGTCTCCTCCTCTGTATTGTGCAGAACCAGCTGCAAAAGGAACAGAGGGGAAATATGACGTGGGGTAACTCCCCACGTCATATGCAACTTCCCCAAATGCAGGGGAGTGATTTATTATTAATAATAATATAAAATAATATTATTAATTAATAATAATTAATATATATTTAATTAATTAATCTTATTAATTAATATTAATTAATTAATTATTAATCTAATTAATAATCAATTAAATATATATATTAATTAAATAAATAATTAACACTTAATTATTTATTATCAAAATAGAATCATACTCTAAAACATTTCTCTCGTATAACCTATAGTTCTAATGTACATCTTATGCACATTATTTTTAACCTATAGTTTTAATATGAATATTATTC